TCTACCTTGAGGCATCCCTCCAGGGACAGCAACGTAAGTCCTCCCCTGATTATCGCCACTGTCATCCTCCTCCAGGCCCCACTCTATCTGTGTATAAGGGACCTGTTCCATACCACCTTCATCTAAAGTCAGGATCAAGTGATCCTTGGCCTTGACTTGGCCAAAGATGGTACGACCTTTCCACTTCTTGCCCTTGTTAAGGTCCTTATGCCAGAAAGTGGAAACTGGCATGGACCATGCTTCAAACGCTACCACTTCCTTACTAAGAGTATCGTAGGTCATGGTAGACTTCTGACTCTTCTCAAAGAAGTGCCCGCGCAAGGGCTCGGGCATGTCACGATAGAATAGATTGACCAATTGAGTCTCAGTGACCCCATGGTCAGGAACGACGATCAATTCATCCATAACGCCCTTGAGTGCCCTAGCACTCCTCCATTGGCGGGAGTGGATGGTTTGCAGTTTGTCAGAAGCTCTAACTCTACGCATGATATCTGCAAACCTCTCATGCAATGACTTAAAGAAGTCACTGAGGGGGGTGATCAGGGAGTAGGCGACCATATCGTTCTCTCACTTGGCAGCACGGCAAAACGACCTGGCGAAGCTAATTGCTTCGTCTTTAAGGGCATGGAGCTATGAGGACATGTTCCTCATGAGCTATCTTCTGAAGGTGTACCTAGGAGTTCACGTTTGCCTCCCAATTATCGAAGTTGTCCTCCTTCTTGCCGCTGTAGGAATCAGGGAACTTCACCTTCACATGCTCTCTACGCGGACGGACTTCCTCCTCCCTTGGAGCAGCAAGTTTCACGCCTTCTATGGCGCCTGTGCAAAATCGCTCTGTGTTTTCTAGACTCACCTTTACTTCTGAGCCCACATGCATCATCATTTCGCGCGCGAACTATCTAAATCCCAATCGTATTGATCGCAAAGCTACGTCCTGGCTCCTAGCGAATTGATACTGCTCTTCGTGGGCCCTTGCTATGAGTTTTATATTCCCCGCCATCACCTCCATCTTCCCTTGCCTGTGCCTCCAACTGTGTCTGTTGTTGCTTCACCACCTCCGACCCCTTGGCTGCCTTACTCGCCTCCTCCATTCTCTTCTTCTTCTCCCTGGTCAGACACAATTTCCATTCTAGTTTCTTCTCTTCTTCTATCGTTTGACGCTTGGGGGAATCTTCTTCGGCTTCCAACTCCTTGATGATCGCCTCCTGTTCTTCCTTGGTAACATATAACATCGCCTCCTCCTCTTTTCCCAAGGATAGATTGGCGACCCACTTAGACACCTTCTTTTCCATCCAACGGGTCCCCCTCCTTCGTGCCATTGGACTCCCCTCTGTCCCTCAAACTCTTTCTGATCAGGGGAACTTCCTCCTCTACCTTTTTCTCTTCTTCTTCTTCTTCGGCCTCCACTGCTTCCAATTTTTCTTCCTCCTCCTTTTTCACCCTTTCGAGCTCCTCCAACTTCTTTCTTTTCGCGGCCTGCTCTTGCAATAAGGCCAACTTCTTGGCCTGCTTTACGACTTCCTTCTTCTCCTTCTTAGCATTCTGCTCGACCAAGATCCTCGCAGCCTCCTCCTCCAGCTCCTTCGTGTAGGGAGTGGTGCTAACACCACCCCTGGTCTCCACCCTACACGTGAAGGTGTTGCAGAAACCTGACGGAAAGAGGAGACGCCAGAGGGTCCCCGAGAGGGAGAACCCCACGAGCAGACCGTACATGGGGTAGTCATCCATGGTGTTAGGTGCACGACAATGACTGTCCCACTCCTCACCACTTAGACCTACCCAGTGGACTGACTGACTGTCTAAGGACCACAGGATCCGGATAGGACCTTGTCAACTTTGGTCACTAGCCTGGACCTAATACTACGGCTGTCACTACAGGACTCAATGCTGATCAGGAGGCATTTAAGGAGATCCCCCGTAACTCAGGAATTATTTAACGTCGCAGACAGAACGACGCGATCAGCAAGTCCTCTCAAGACTTAGACAACTTGTTGTGCAACCCACAGCTCGGATTTTGGGCCTACCATGCCACACTGAGCAGCCCACCGGTCTGTACCAGTCCTTGGGAGGGTTTGTCCTCCGGGTCAGTCAGTCATCAGACACGGCCTTTAGCCCTACTCAGCCCGTGTGGGTTTGGTCAACAAAGCTCTACGACCTCAGACACAGAGTTCCTATCACCTGGATAGAAGAGACTCAATGCAGAAAGAAGAGACAAACAGACTCAGCAAGTACCATGGGGTGTGTGCACATCCATAGGGCGAGGGGATAGGCTGAAGGCTTGGCAAGAATATACCAACTCCAGCTTGGTCAATTTCGTGGTCAACAACTCCGGTCAATGCCTTGGTCAACGCTGGTCAACTTTCAGGTCAACACCTTGGTCAACATTGGTCAACGCCTCAGTCAACACCCTGGTCAATGCCTTGGTCAATGGCGGTAAAATCTCCGGTCAACGCCTTAGTCAACACGTCGGTCAACCCAACACGTTGGTCAACCCCTCGGCTATGGCTCCTTTCTCCTTCGTCTCTCCCTTCTCCTCTACTTCATCTTCTTTCTCCTTGGTAACCCTGTGTCCGAGCTTCGGCGGTTATGGACGCCACCTCCTGTCTTGGACCGCACAACAATCTTGTATCGCTTCTCTCTCTCTCTCTCTCTCTCTCTCTCTCTCTCTCTCTCTCTCTCTCT